AGAGGGGTCTGGAGCGATAGCACAGCGGGTAGGGCGTTTGCCTTGCACGCAGCCAACATGGCCGACCCGGGTTCGATTCGATTCCCAGCATCCCCTATGGTCCCCCGAGCACCGCCAGGAGTCATTCCTGAGTGCATGAGCCAGGAGTAACCCCTGTGCATCACTGGGTGTGACCCAAAAAGAGAAAGAGAGAGAGAGAGAGAGAGAGAGAGAGAGAGAGAGAGAGAGAGAGAGAGAGAGAGACTGACACCAAGCTAGGAAGTCATGAACCCACACGGATCCTGAGAGCCTGTGCTGGCCCCACCTCCTGGAAGATTCTACTTCCCCCATGCAGGACCCTGCCCATAGTATGTGCTGAATAAAAGGCAGGTGTGGCTGACCCATCACGGATTTTCTTCCATCAGGCTCCAACGTCTTTGTATTTCTCTCCAGGGACCGAAGCGGATGTCGGATGCCCAAGTGCAGACAGACCCCGTCTCCATTGGACCCGCTGGCAAATCCAAGTAAACAAACACTCCAGTCCGTTCCCACCAAGTCCTCCCGCCAGAGATGCCTCTTTGCTCCCTGACCTCCTCCCCACCCCGCCCATGTGTATATCTTGTCTTCTGCCGGCCAGTTCGGCGAAACTCTGCCTACAAATTAGCCCGAGCTGTTGTACATTGAGGTGTATTATTTACGTCTCTGGCCCAGTCTTTCCTGGTATATAATGTAAAGATGGTATAGCACGTTAACTACTTAGGTCGGAAGAGTTGGTGGTCCCCCGAGCAGGGAGGAGGATGGGGGTGGGGGGTGGTTGTGCAGAATGCATTCGGGTGCAGCTACAGCAAACAGGAGTGACAAGTTTAGCTGCAGAAAAGGGAACGCTTGCTGGGAGTGATTAAGCTTTGTATTAAACACACGCTCCTCCTCGTCGCTGGAAGAGAAGAGATGGAAATCCGTGTGAGTTCACATCTCAAGGAGAGAGAACAAGGGCTGCCTTGGGAGGTTGCCAATTTCCGAGGCAGGAATGCGTGGGGAATAAGAAAGGAATGGCGGAGAGCCGGTTCTCACCTAGGGTCCTTGAACATTGCTGACAAGGAGGCCCAGATCGGCTGGAAGAGGGCTTGAAACGGTTCCGGAAAACAGTTGGTTTTTGGAGGCTCAGGGAGCAAGGCGAGCGAGATTTACGACTTGGAAAACGAACCAAGCGAGGGTGCAGGTTGATTTCGCAACACCAGGGGGCGTCACTTCATCCCGCGTCTTGTATCCCTAACAAAGATCTGGTCTCTGCACTCTTCCGTGATTAATGTTTCTCAGATGGCTGAGGGCCTCGCTTCATCTGTTCTGTCTGACACTTATCCCGAGTCTGTCTGTAATTTCCTAATGTTCTCAGGATGTGCTCTGATGTAAACCCAGTAATCCCAGCTAATAAAAATTTATAGATTATTCAAATACCGGAGGTTCTTTTTAATACTTGTACAGAAAAATGAATAGGACCGTAAGTCTAATACAATGTAACTCCAAGTAGCATATGATTGACTGATATTATGTTTAATGTATCTTTCGTTTTCTGATTTAATAATAAAAAAAAAGTTCTTAAAGCATCTTTTGCTTTTTAACTTGTAAAGCGGAGCTCTCGTTGTCCGTATCTGAGAAGCTTTTGTCCTCCACAGCGTAAATTCGGAGCTCTTCCTCCTCCTCCTCCTCCTCCACCTCCTCCTCCTCCTCCTCCTCCTCCTCCCTCCCTCCTCCCTCCCAGATTCCTTCGATTGCTCTGTGGAATGGGTACACACACACACACACACACACACACACACAGATATATGGCATGCATGCACATCATATGCACATGTGTGCACTGTAGGTTGGCATCACACAAGCACTTAGACACGTGTGCACATATATACTGCACCGTCCACAAGCACATACAGATGTTTGTGTGATAGCATGCCCGCACACACAGATGTGTGCCATGTATACTAACATGCACACACACACACACACACATATAGATGTGTGCACTGTGCACGTGTGTATCGGCATGTACACACGCACAGAGATGCCCGCACACGTTTAATGGCGCGCACACACACATACAGGTGTGCACACTGTGTGTGTTGGCCTGTGCACGGACATACCGCTGTGTGCATATCAACATATACAAGCACGTTGGCATGCAGGTGGTGCACATGTGGCAGGCATGCATACAGGCATGTCGCATGTGGGATGGCATACACACACGTGTGCTCTCGTGTATCGGCACACACACACACCGTACAGGCTTCTGCATGCATGCATGTGTGCACGTGTGGAATGGCGTGTGCACACGTGAGTAAAACAGGTCCTGCGGCAGAGCCACCCGGACAGGGAAAGGAGGAGAAGGGGCCAGGCTGTGGCCACGGACTCTCTTGGCTGGAGTTTCAGCTCTGCCTCGGGGGTTGCTGGGGAAGTTAGTGCCTGAGGCAGAGGGCACGGCCTTTGCCCTCTGGGAGTCCGGGCCCGGGCAGGGGGTTGCAGGCCAGCCGGAAGCGGGGATTCCTCCTTGGCAGCCTGGAGACCGCGGGAGCCGCCCCCGGCACGCAGCTGCCGGGAGGAGGGAGAGAGACGCAGCCGGCACCGCACTCCAGGACGCGGCAAAAGGGCTTTGGGAAAATGTGCTGACAAAAATGGCATCAAAACAACAGCCAGTTTGGGGTGCTGGGGCGCACCTACCCCTGGTGGGGACTGGCCGGTGGCCGGGTACCCAGCAGTCAGGGCTGCTCCCTCGCTGCCCTGTCGGCAGCTGCAGAGCCGGGCTGGCCACCTCAGACCCGCCCGGACACCAGATTCTGTGTCAGGGACTGGCCCAGCCTCATCCGCTTCAGGCCCTGATGCGTGACGGGCACAGATCACTGGGGGCACCTCGGGGGTCCTGATGAGCAAGGAAACCAGGGGCCTGGTATCCCTTTGTCTCGCCCTGTGTGACCTTTGACCTGTGGCCATGGAAAAAGAGGTCTCTGGGGCCAGTTCCAGGTCACTGGGCACACCCTGGGCCTCCCCCATCCCCCACCCCCATGGTGGGGGGGTGAATGAAACTTTTGGGGGTCTTTTTTTTTATCACACCTGGTGCTGCACAGGGGTTACTCCTGGCTCTGGACTCAGGAATTACTCCTGACAATGGCTCGGGGGACCATATAGGATGCTGGGAATTGAACCCAGGTCAGCCGCATGCAAAGCAAACACCCTCCCCGCTGTGCTATTCCAGCCCCGGGAATGAAACTTTTGTCAAAGCTTCACCCCAGAACCTCTGTGCCTTCCCTCCTGCCCGACAGGGCGAGGAAGCAGCTCATCCTAAATTTATACTGTGCTCGGGTTATAATCTCCCAGACAGGAAATCTAAGCCAGGGAGGATCCAAACATGATATCCTGGGGGATACAGCTGTAAGTTAGCTCAAACTCCGGCGGGCAGTCTTGTGGATGGTGGTTTTGAAAAGCTATTCCCACCGCATGGAAAAGAAATTCTTCCCAAATTGCACAGTTTCCCAAGAGTACAACTGGAGTGATATAGTACAGCAGGTAGGGTGTTTGCCTTGCACACAGACAACCCAGGTTCGATTCCTCCGCCCCTCTCGGAGAACCCGGCAAGCTACCAAGAGTATCCTGCCCACATGGCAGAGCCTGCAAAGCTCCTCGTGACGTACTCGATATGCCAAACACAGTAACAAGTCTCACAATGGAGACGTTACTGATGCCCGCTTGAGCAAATCAATGAACAACAGAGGACAGTGCTACAGGGCTACAACCCCCACCCACGCCCACCCCAAGGGCATCCAGCAAAGTTCAGGGGATGTGGATTATTGAAAATAGAAATCTGTCACACACACACACACACACACACACACACACACACACACTCATGCCCAGGACACCCAGCCCACAGCTAACAGCAGGCGTTGAGGGGCGCCCGCTGAGGGCTAGGGTTTGGGTTAGAGTAGGATTAGGGTTAGGGTTAGGGTTAGGGTAGGATTAGGGTTAGGGTTAGGGTTAGGGTTAGGGTTAGGGTTAGGGTTAGGGTTAGGGTTAGGGTTAGGGTTAGGGCCCCCTTCCTGTGCTCACTCCTGGGGTATTGATCTATTTCCTGTCCATTTCAGGTGCTGGCCCAGGTGGGGTTTCTCCAGGGTCAAGAAGAAGAAGCGGCCCTTGCAGGATCAGAGGTGCTGAGCGGACAGTCACCCACGGAGCAGAGGGCAAAGCCCACCCCTCTCTCCGAGTCATCCCTGCGGGGACTTTGGACGTCAGCCAAGGGCTTCTACGAAAGCACAGTCTCTGTGTCCGGCTCTCCCTCCCCAACACTGAGAGACGCCCAGAAGGGAAGGAAAGAGAGCCGAACTTTCAGCCTCAGCAAAGACACCTGCTGTAAACGCAGGCCTCCTTTGTCCCTGCCGCTTCCTCTCTCCTCCCACTTCGCCAAACCCCTCCATTTGTTTGCAAACAGTGCAAAGGTTTTAGGGTCCCCTTTATCCTTCCCCGGGGGACCGAGACAAGAGGGTGCATCCTGCAAGCTCCAGGGAGCAGATTTCTTTCATCCGAACCTAAACAAACGTCCTTCTGCAATCCGAGAGACCCAAGGGGACCCTCAGCTACACTGTCGCACTGTAGCACTGTGCTCCGGTTGTTCATCAATTTGCTCCAGCGGGCACTAGTAACGTCTCCATTGTGAGACTTGTTACTGTGTTTGGCATATCGAGTACGTCACGAGGAGCTTGCCAGGCTCTGCCATGTGGGCAGGATACTCTCGGTAGCTTGCCGGGTTCTCCGAGAGGGGCGGAGGAATCGAACCTGGGTCGGGCACTAGTAACATCTCCACTGTGAGACTTGTTGTTACTTTGTTACTGTGTTTGGCCTATGGAATACATACGCCATGGGGAGCTTGCCAGGCTCTGCAGCCTGTGCGGGCGGGATGCTCTCTCGTAGCTTGCCGGGCTCTCCGAGAGGGACGGAGAAATCAAACCTGCGTCGGAGGAATCAAACCTGCAAGGCAAACGCCCTACCCGCTGTGCTATCGCTCCAGCGCACCTCAGCTGCAAGACAACAAAATCAGCCAGCCGGCCTCCACCTTCGGGCAGAAAGGGGAAACTGATTTCACCGATGAACCACCGGCCAGAGTGCCAGGCACCACAAATGCCAGCTACAGAGAGGCGGGGATCCCAGAGCTGGTTTCCACCATCTCCCATGGTCCCAGTCAAGCCCTTTTGAAGCGGCATCTGGCAGGGGGCTTGGAGCCAGGCTGCACTGGGGTCCCCTTTACGCTGGCTTCTGGGGAGAGAAAACCCCGCGGCCACATGGATGCTCTAGAAATAAGAGCTCCCTCGGAAAGGAAGGAAGTGACTTCCTGACTGGCAAACTCGGCCAATTTGTCATTCAGATCTCTGGTTGGGGTCCTCTAAGCCGGGGCTGGAGGCAGCCCTGGGCCGAAACTGCTTTTCTGGGAGAGGTGAGGGGGTTCCTTTGCTTTCCCAGAAATACCCCTTCCGGGACCCAACCCGCAGCGGTAAGGGGATGCCCGGTCACGTCAGAATTGGGATAACCTAGTCCATCTCACATTAGCACTCACTCCTCCGGTGCTCAGGAAGCTTCTGGATGCCTCGATGACAGCCCCACGCCCGTAACTGAACAGAGTCAGCCCACTGTCTTGTGGCCCTTCGGGGACAGTGGCCGGCACCTGGACGCTTTGGCTTCCGTCGGCCCCAAGGGCCCTTCCAGGCTGCGTGACTCCGAAGGGCTCCTCACCCCAGGAGGGGTGAGGGGACACTAACCAACGTGTTTTACTTAAATCGCATCGGAGGGGCCTCCAGGACCTGGGGTCTGGCCTCCTCTTCCCAGAGACTTTTCCTCTTGCTGTCTCAGCAGGAAATGGGCCCGGCCAGTTCTGCCGTGTTTGTTATGGGCTCCCAGAGCTCAGTCAAGTTCAAGGAGGAAATGGTAGGATAAGAGGAGACAGAACAAAAGCACTGTCCCCTGGGGGCTTCACTCTCCTCCCACCAGCAGAGATGAGGTGGGGGGGTATGAAGGGCAGATTTTTTTTTCAGGATTTGGGGTTTTTTTTTGGGAGGGTGGGATGCCATACCCAGCTGAGCTCAGGGCTTACTCCTGGCTCTGAGCTCAGGGATCACTTCTGGTGGGGCTCAGAGGACCCTATGGGATGTCAGGGATTGACTCTCCCCACCCCCCAAAAAAAGCAAAGTTGGGCTGTTAGACTGTGATATCATAAAATCTGGCCCTTCCTCTGCCTGTCACCCCAACCCTACCATCAATGGCCAGCCCATGCCTGGACACGGGAAGAACCCCCCCTCCCCCCCGAGCCTGGGTGGATGACTACGGTCCCTTCCTTTGCGAAGCGGGTGCCTTGTGTTCTAAACTGAATTTTTTTTTTTTAAGGAGATAGCACAGCGGGTAGGGCGTTCGCCTTATAAGCGGCCAACACGGCCGACCCGAGTTCGATTCCTCCGCCCCTCTCGGAGAGCCCGGCAAGCTACCGAGAGTATTCGATATGCCAGACACAGTAACAACAAAGTCTCCAATGGAGACGTTACTGGGCCCGCTCGAGCAAGGAGAAATCCAGTTTTTTTTTTTGTTTTTTTTTTTTTGGTTTTTGGGTCCCACCTGGCGATGCTCAATGGTTACTCCTGGCTCTGCACTCAGGAATTACTCCTGGCGGTGCTCGGGGGACCCTATGGGGTGCTGGGAACCGAACCCGGGTCGGCCTTGTGTGAGGCAAATTCCCTCCCTTCTGTGCTATCGCTCCCGCCCCAAAACTGAGAGTATTTTTGTGCCCAGTTTGGTCACTCTTATCTCACCTGCCACTGGTGAGCACCCGGGGTCTGAGGATGAGGGCCCAGAAGAATTCGCCTTCTGAGATTCTGAGATTCACTGAGAATAATCCAAAGGGCAAATTCCCATGTCCCCTCCAGCCCCACCAGATCAAAATCTCTGGGTGTGGGGCCCCACACAATCTGTGTTTCAGCCAGCCCTCCCAGAGGTGGAGATAGAAGAAAAACCTGAAAACCACTGGCCTAGTCACCAATGCCTCATCACAGAGCACCAGCTGTCCAAGGCCAAACACCGCCATGGAAGATGCTGAGGTAGTAAGTGCTGTGTGCCAGGCCTGGCGCATCGCAACAACCTTGTCTTCTTAACCTTGAATTAACCTTCTTGCCTTCTACCCATTTTACAGATGAGGAGACTGAGGCTCAGAGAGGCCAAGTCCCTGTGCCCGAGCATGGCGGGGGTCCAGGTTGACATGAAATGGCAGGTCTTGGCGGCTTGCCATCTGTTTGGGGGACATGCTGGCAGGCAGGAAGATGGTAAAGAGAGAAATGGGAGCACAGCGCCAGGCAGGGCCTCCAGGCCACGGCAGGGTAGAGGCTGGCCTTCAGGGAGTCCACGAAGCTTGCAGAAAGAACTGCATGTAGTTCTGCACGGCGGGGGAGGTCGTAGAGCGGTGGGAAGAGAGAGGAGGGTGATGGAAGGGAGTGCAGGGCCTCGGGGAGACCTGCAGGGTCTGAGCAGGAAGCTGCGGGCAGGTTTGCTTGGGGGTCACAGGTCAGGGAAACTCAGACTCAGCTCGGGTCCTGTCCCTGTGTGGCCGGAAGTTCCCACACAGCAAAAACAGCTTCTCTCTAGGCTCCCTGGGGGAGTCCAGGGGACGCCCAGCAGGCCAGAGCCACTCCAGGGTGTCGCCCCCCCACCCCACAGCTCCCAGGTTTGTTTCCAATGGTCTGGAATGAGGAGGGGGGATGAGGGTCCGCAGCCCCCAGCCCCCCACCCCCCAAAGGAGGGTCCCACAGCTCTGGGCTGCGTGAGCGAGGCTGGGGCCACGGCCACGAGACTGTAGGGGGGAGCATGGAGTTTGCCCCTGGACGCCTCCGTCTGTGCCCTGTAAAGGCCTAAGAGTCCTGAGACGGAGGACAGACAGCAGCAGGGCAGTGCGCCTGGCACAGCCTGGCATGGCCTGCCACAGCCTGGCATAACCTGGCACAGCCTGGCACAGAATGGCATGGCCTGGTATGGCCTGGCATGGCCCAACACAGCCTGGAATGGCATTTCCTGGCACAGTCTGGCAGAGGTGGGCACCAAGCATGCTTGTTCGGCAGAACGGGCCCCGTCCTTCCCTTCCTGGGGCTCAGAGACCATGGTTCACGGCCCCCCTGTAGGGCACTCCCCCCACCCCCCCCCCCCACCCACCTCATTCCCCATCCTGGCTAACTTGCTTGCCCAAAAAGAGAAGACGGGGGAGGCAGGAGGCCGATCCGAGAGTCGCTTTGCCTGGGGTCCGTCCCTGAGACACCACCAGCTGGATTTCCGGCAGGACCGGGGATCTGGCTGGCCTCCTGGTACGTGTCCTGATCCCCGATGCCCGTGGCCGGCTGCCACAGGAACAGATGTTCTGAGGGTGCTTCCTCCCCAGCCCTCTCCCCTACCCCCTGCAGCCTGACTAACCCCCCACCTCCCACTCTGCCTGGTTCTTTGCTTCCCTTGGTGACTCTCAGCCTTGGTGGACCTGCCCGGGCCCTGGGGAAGTGCCACCCCCATCCCGTGTCCCGGGGCAGGGGGCAGGGAGGGGGCAAGTCACCCTCGTGTTCCCCACCAATCAGTGGGACAAATTTGAAGTGCCCCAAGGGTCCACAGCCAGACAGAGCTGAAGCTTTCTCTAGTAGCCGCCACCCATGAACCCCAATCCCAGTCTCTGCCCCAATAAACCACCTGCCTTCTTGTGGGCTCGAGTCTGTGTGTGAGCTGAGCATCAGGGGTCCAGCTGCCGGGCAGGGTCACCAAGCCCCCAGGGATGCCTTCCCACCCACCCCCAGGGAGCTGTGTCTTTCTGTTGATGGGGGGAGGAGGAAGTGTCCTGGTGCCATGGGGGGTGGGCTGGGTGGAACCGCCATCCAATGCCATGAAGCAGGCTGAGTGTCATGTGACAGGGACTCCCCCAGAATGGTCCTAGGGGGCATCAGGCTAACTCTAGGGAGGAAGGAAGGGAGCACGTGGTTAGGTCCCCCAGGGGGTCCCCATGGCCACCTGGTCCTGGTTTACAGAACAGCATGGGGCAGGAGGGGGCATGGGGCTCACTGAGCTGAAAATTAGAGCCAGCGTCTCCGCCGGGGGCATGGGGGTACCCCCAGGATACTGCAGGGGGCGCCAGGGCAAGGCATCCCAAGGGGGTCCACAGACCGGGGGGCCCGGGGGAGGCTGGGGGGACCCAGGAAAGAAGCAAGGGGGGAGGTGTCGG